CAGCCCCCACCCCCGGAGCCCCATTGGCCGCGCCGCCCCTCGAGATGGGGCGTACGGTTACACACCTCGCTCGGCCCTGCGCGGGGCTGGCTGGGGCTGGGGCGTCTTTACCGTCTTTAGGTCCCAGTGACGTCAGCAGGCATCCCGCCCCCCGCCACCACCAGCGCCTTATCGCTCCGTTCGCCCCGCACTCACACTCACATTCACACTCACACTCACACCACACCCACACTCACTCACACTAGCTCGTGCGCGCGAGCGCTGACTACTGCAAGCAGTCCGGAAATCAGAACGAGGTGAAAATATACCGATCAAGAGGATGGATCGCGTGGCGCCGGGAATCTCCCTCCAACCCTCCTCTTCCCGCCTCGTCTCGCCGGCCGTCAGCAGCCAGGTCATTCCCTGCCCCTTGCCCCCCTTGCAACGCCCCCGTTTCGGGTAGCTGTTTTTGTTTTGGCGCCAAACCTATTCCTGGAGGGCGGTGGCTCCCACGTCGGCCCGACCAGCCCGCCGCGGACTAGATAAACTTGGTGTTGTTGGGCGCGGCGGCGGCTCGGTCTCCTCTTGGTGGTCGTGGCGACGGCAAACATGTCAGGCGGGGGGTCGCTGCCTGCGCCGGGCCGAGCCGGGCCGGGATGGGTTTACTTAGTATATTAGGCGGGCGGCCGGGGTCGCGGACGGCGGGGCCGGCCTCGGCTGGGGCCTCGGCGTGGGCGTGTTGACGGTGTGCACGAGCAGGGCGAGGCAACGGCCAGAGGCGGGTCGGGCGGGCCGGGAGCAGCGGCCGCCCCGGGCGCGCGCTGCGCGGGCAACCTCTGCCGCGGCGGTGACGGTTGGGCTGTCGGGCCGGCAGGCGCCACCGTCGTGGACGTCGTGGGAGAGCCGGCCGCCTCACCCGGCGCTTGGAAGTGGGGCCATGCAACTGGCATGTGTTCCAGGTACCCCTCTCCAGATAAACTGGTGGATCCGAAGTGGCGGGTGTAATGTGTACGTTGGGCGGCCTGGGGCGGCGTAGTCATCGAGATGTAAGGGATCATCCAGTAAGTATGTCCGTTATTGGCCGTTACGCTACCAACCTTCCAAGATGCCCTTGCAAGCTCTCAGCGCCTGTTAGGTAGGCAACATCTTCCCTACGACGCGTGCGTGTACTGCGGGGTGGCCTACCCGGGGTCTCGCAGGCGCCAAGCTCCCGAAATTTACGGAAGGAAACTGTGAAAAACGGGCGTATTTTCTGGACGATCCCTAAGTACACCTCGATGCTCTTGTGGACCCGAACCGACCCGTCGTGGACTCCTCTCTCCCATCAACGTCGGTGGGATAGGTCGCAGGGTGCCAGCCGGATGTGTCACCCCCTGCCGCTTAGACTGTACCGAGTGCACTTTAGCGAGCGGGCTGCCTAGTCGGGCGTCACGTAAGGGGACGAGACGTCCCTGTTTGTAGCCACAAACCCGCCGGCACGCCCCTTTTGTAGCTAGACAGTTGTAGCACGACCGGATGCAGCTTCATCCGAACCAAACCTGGTATCAACACCCGGCCGAGGCATTTTTTCGTCAATCCTTGTCTCCCGTAAGACAGAACCGAGCTCAGAACTTAAACCGAGAAGGGCGACCTGGCAGCCGAGCGTGTTAAATCGTGTGGTCGTTGGCAGAGCGTGGGGATGGTCGGTAGTTCGAATCCCATCGTCAGCGATAATTTTTCCTGATCTGCTGGCAAGTTCCTTCGGGCGTCAGCGACAGCAGAGATCTAGATGCCACCGGGCGCTATTCTCACTAACGTTCCTTCGTGGCTAAGCCGGTAGCGTGCGCGCCCGGTATCAACCTACTCGCTGGTTCAAAGTTCAAATCCCGTCCCGCTGACATTTTTCGCGCTCTGCTGGCCATGACTTTTCAGCCGTGCGATAACCTGATGGGATAGGCCGGTACGCAAACAGTCGCTGGTCCCAATCTCGTCGACGGAACCATTTTCCCTCCCCTTCTGCCAGCCATGTGTTTCCGAGTGCGAGCCACAGCGGAGGTACGCTGTTCGTTAGGATCTACCGTTTTGGCTTAGTTGATAGAGCGCTCGCTCGGGATGCCGATGGCTGCTGGTTCGAATACTGTCCGTGGTCAAATTCACCCGTTTTTTCCGGCATCCGAATCGACCGACTCTGACTAGGCCAGCAGCGAGATAAGGATGTGCACCTATTCGACCACCTACTCAGCAGCAGGTCCCGAAAAAAAAATTGCCCCGCCTAGGACTCGATCCCCCGCCCGGCGGTGTCCAGGGGGACGAAACACCGGCACGCTCGTCACTCGGCTGTCGGCTGGACCTGTAGTCAGAACTCTGTCCGCGTTTACGGGTCCTTGGTCTTCCGCAAGGCAGGCGGTCAAGTCCACCTCCTCATCGCGCTGAAGCCCTGGTTGGGTAACACGGAAATTATTCGAAAAATGCGCGTTTCGTGGGCCTTGAATCAGGCCGTTTCTTGACCAGTGTGTTGTACTGTACTCCATACGTAATTTTTTTATGCTCCGCGCCACACGCTTCATAAAAAGCCATGACAGGTTGTTGTCTTGAGCAGGCGGTATATCGTGTTTCGGGTTTTTCCTAGAAGAAGTCGTGCGAACCAGAGCAGCAGCCTCAGCAGTTCTGACAGTCCAACCCAGATATTGGCATATTGGCCGGGTCCCGGTGTGTGTATGTATGAAAAGAGGGGGAGGGGGGCATTGTTGATGCCGCCGCGCCACGCGCCGCGCCGACAACGCGCCACCCCGCCCAGGCAGACTTTAGCGCCTTTGGCCGTGGCCCACCCTGACTCTGACTATTTCTGTCGTTTCCTTGTCAGCAGAGAAAACGCCCTCCTGCCTGCCCCCCCCCCTCTCCCCTTTCCACTACTCTCCACCGCCAGCCACGCCACGCCGCCAATGATGCGACGGAATGCCTGCCCAAGCTCATCAAGCGCTTGACCCTAATTGTCGACCCCCTCCCCCCTTCCCCCTCTCTCCCCAACTCCCGGTCCCGTCGAAAAGGGTCCTAGTCGCGGTGGCACGGCACATAACGCAGCATTCCCTTGCACCCAGACACATGGGGTCATGGGGAGCGCCCACGCGTGCAGCAGCAGCAGCCTGCAGCAGCGGGCAGCTCATCGCATACGGGCCCCGGACAAACAGTGGTCGTCTCGCTGCCGCGTCCCGTCCTTCTTGTTCTCTCCTCTATGAATGATAAGGAGTGAATGGACGATGACCTCCTCTCCTGGTCACAATCGTCACAATGTGCGTTCGTGCGTGTGGGTGCGTGTGTGTGCGTGTGCGAGAGAATGTCAGTGTGAGAGAGGGAGACGACTCGAAGAAGGGGGAGGGTCCTTGATGGATGAGAAGACAGACAGCGTGTCAGTAGAAACAATCATTTATTCTCCCTCCAAACACGACGACCATTTACGAAAAGACCTACTCACTATATTTGGCATCAGAGACGTAATACATAGATACATACATACATATATTTTACAGACTGAATTAGTTAATATTTATTTGTGACTTCCTCATTCATACGCAATAATTATTTTTAACAAAAATTCCATTTGCATTAGTGTTACAGGACAAGGCTTGCGTGGAATGAGGTTCAATAGTGGTAACTAGCATGATCGCCTTTCTTTTACTTTGGCTTCGATCTCGTCGAGTACCTCTCCTGCTAGAAAACAAATGCGCGAATACTGAGACGTTACAAGAATGCAGTCAGTGACTTAGCTAACCTTCATTATTACTGCTTTGGTACAAAAGCAAAGTACAACCAGAGCGCGGCGCACGTCTCGAAACTTCCTTAAACAACAGTGAAAAGTAAAAAATACGAAAAAGGAAAATTAATAAAAACAAAAATAGTTATCACAACTAGTGGCACGGATGGATATATGCGACTGTTTTCATTGGACGGTGAGGACATAACGCTCTAGGTGAGGTACACAGAACTTGTAGCATATATCATATAGCCTAAGCCACATTGGAATGGTTCCAACGAAGTAAGGTACATATCACAATAAGTCAAAGTCCGGCAGACGACTTTTCTGCTCTCTCGATCACGTTCGACTAGAAGCCGCGGCAGACCTTTCCTCCCCCTCACATGTGGTCCGTCTCCAAGGTCTGCATGTCTCCGCTCACGGCCCCGGCGGGCGTCGCGGGCGTCGCCGCCCTCCCGCCGGGGCCGGCGCGCTCCTAGTAGACGCTCCTGCCGCCGGAGCCGCCGCCGTTGGTGGCCGTGCCGCCGCTCGGCGTGCGCGACGTCTGCTTGTAGTCGGCACCGACGCCGGCCTCGGGCTGCGAGGCCTTGGACGCGGGCGTCGTCTGCCGGGCGGCCACCTGGCCGGCGGCCATGGCGCGGCGGCGCGACGCGAACCAGAGGCGCGCGAAGCAGGCGCGGAAGTTCTCCGAGAAGAGCCCGTAGAGCAGCGGGTTGACGACCGTGTTGAGCAGCGCGGCCAGCAGCGCCCAGATGAAGTGGTGGCTGCGCAGGAAGAAGTCCGTGTCCTCGGTGGGCCGCGACCCGTCCACGTAGATGAGGCTCATGATGACGGTGATGGGCAGCCACATGACGAGCACCACCAGCACGTTGAGCAGCAGCACGCGCACCACGCGGATGTGCTTGTTGAGGCGCAGCTCCTCGTGGTGGGAGAGCGACCCGGACCGCCCCATGCCGCCCATGCTGCCCAGCTGCGAAGCGGCGCTCACCTGCCCAAAGCCAAATCAATCGATCAGTACACTCTCTCACCAAGTTTGACCCAAACTTTATGACCCACCCAACTTTTACTAGTTTCTTAAGAAAAGCGAATTCTTCGCGCGCTTTACCTTCCTGCCGGCAGCGTGCGCGTGCGCCATGAGGCTGCCCACGAAGCTGAGCTCGCTGCCGCGCCGGCCCGGGGTGTCGCTGCCGGCCGACTCGGAGCGCTCCGAGCTGGGCGCGGCCACGACGACGCAGGGCGCCGCCCAACGGCTGCGCGTCTCCACCAGCTTGCGGAAGATGCGCTGGTAGTGGAACACGAACAGCGCCATGGGCAGCAGGCAGGCGAGCAGCAGCACGGGCACGGTGAAGCAGAGCGACAGGTTGACCGAGTCGCTGTGCGGGAACACGAGCGTGCACACGTCGCCGCCCTCGGTGCGCTGCACGTGGAACCAGAAGGCGACGGGCAGGAAGACGACGGCGGCCAGCAGCCAGGTGGCGGCCGTGAGCGCCAGCGCCAGGGTGGGTGTGAGCGTGGAGCGGTACGGCGGCACCACGATGCAGCGGTAGCGGTCCATGGAGATGAGCGTCAGCGTCCACAGCAGCACGAACCCGCACACGAACTGCAACAAGAGGCCGGGCCGAGGTCAGTGTCGAGCAAATTATTCATGGCTCCCGCCCCGGGCGCCGGGCGGCCAGTTTAATCCGTACACTTTGCAGGGAACCTATTCCCTTTTGCGGGTCAGTTTGGCGGGCCCGGCCCGGCCCGTCCAGGGGGTGGCGCCCGCCGCCACGGTCCGGTCCGGTCAGGACCGAGCTCTTTGATAACACCAACACCTCCCCCTTTTGCCTCGACGAACTTTCCAGAGCCGATTTCATCCTCCTCTCATCCTCCTCCTCCTCTTCCTCACGTTCCCCCCGGCTCGCAACTCATCTCCAGAGTGTGTGGCCGGTCGAGGCCAGGGGCGGCCCAGGCCTCGGCTCCCACCACCGTCAGCTCCCGCCTGCAATGAGAGCAGGGACAGTTTCTCTCACGGTTCCCAACGCGCGCGAGAGAGGAAAAACGACCGGCTTAGCTAAAGTACACCGGGCCATAAAGAAACAACTTTCCGATTAGCTCATCACCAGGGCGCGACGCACGGGTGGTGGTAACATCTCCACCGCCCTCACTGCCCCTCCCCCAGCCCGCACGACGCACACACGGCGGCCCAGGCGACGGCGCAGCGCAGACCAAGGCTGAAAGGGGGAGGGTCGATGCTGCTGCCCCTCGACTTGTGGAGATGAGTAACAGGCTAGCGGAGATGAGGTACCAGGGGAGGAGGGGGTGGGGCGTAGCGTAGGACGCGAGGAGACGTCCGCCCCCGACATGCAGCTACCATTTGTGACGTCCGGCCCGAGTGCGACCCTCACTCTCGCCCGCCAGGACCGTCGTCGTAACTGATGGACACTCCGGGGCGCATTGAGGCGCGTGCCCTTGAGAGGCACGAGGGGCGTCGCAGCGTCGCACACGCGTATTATTTTCCAAGTTGAGCGGGCCGCCGCGCTGGGGTCAGCGGACACAAGGCGGTGGCGGTGGTCAGCAAAAGCAGCAGGATGCTCTGGAGGAGCAGGAGAAGAAGAAGTTTTTCATCCTCGTGGCCATAGCAGCCCCATCCATCCATTCGGCCCATCGCGCGGTATTGACAGCGAGACGGTAAACCAATCGGTCACCGAAGCATCGGCAAAACCGGCCCCGCGCCGCGGCTCGCCTGCTCCGGGCCCGGCCGATACACAATAAGTTCGACGAACCCACAGTAAGACCGTGAAAAAACGATGTGGTTGAGAAGAATGAGGCGGGGGTGGTAGAGGGAGGGGATTGAAGGGTTATCAGCGGGGAGCGGCTAGGTAAACAGCAGCCGTCGGGCCATCCGCTCGGCTAATCTGTATTTACCTCTCCAATCGCCGCGGCGCAGGTGAAGCGTCCGGGGCCTAAGCTTGAGCCGGGCTTGAAGCCCCCTGCGCCTGCGGCGCGGCCTGCGGGGCGCTGGGCCAGACTCAGACAGACCACCTCCACGACCACAACAGTCTCGCGAACACGAGACGGGAGGGCACAAAACAAGTCAGCCTAAGCAGGAAATGGATCTCTTTTACCGGAGGCCAATCGCGCAACGCACTGGGGGATGGGGCGTTACGTGACGAGGTGGGCGGCGCGCCCCGCGGCACCCCAACGGTGGTCCGGATCGGAGAACAAAAGACCGTCATTGTGAACGCGGGGCTGGTCCGCAATGACGGGGTGGGGCGCGCGGGGACCGTCAAAGCCGGGCACAGCGTCTCTTTATCCGGAGCAGGGAGCAGGCCCGGCGGACCGAGCGCAACACGATCCACCGCAGCCGTGACGAGAACTCCTTTTACCTCGCTGCGACGCTGCTCGGCTCGAGGAGGGGCCGCCTGGGAGGTAGGCCCTCCCGTTGCGCGGGCGTGCTCGGCGGGGCTGCCAGCCGGCGCGGCGCCTCGCGGGCCCGGCCGGGCGGGCGGGGCGG